GACTGGTAGAGGTCATTTTTTCACTAGAAATGGTTGAGCAGCACTGGCCTGTTTCAGGGCATGCTCAATTCTGTCATAATTTCTGAACAATCGGTACAATTGATTTCTGTTGGAATAAAAGGCAGGAATATAAAACTTCCTGCAGCCTTCAGAAAGGCTGAATGAAATATTTGACAGCAAAAACAGAACTAAGTCTTTATTTCATAGTTATAAGAATTGAGCTCTAATAAGCAACAGACCTAATTTCACTTGGTTTTATTCTCTGTTGGCAATGCTAAAGACTCCTCTAATTTTAATTGTAATTTCAATCGTTCTTCCTTGTTACTCCATGTGAAGCTGAGAATCTGTCCAGCTATTGACATGCAAGGATTAAACTTTACCTAAGACACGTATAAAAAAATGCATGACATACACACAAACTTCCTGAACCGGGGTATATGAAGAGGCCCATTAAATAAATGAAGGCTGAAGACAGTGGATCAGATCCAACTGCCACCTCTACATAGCACTGAGAAGCAGGACAATCTACTTCTCTCATTTTGATGATTTATCAGCCAGGGTAAAGATGATGTAGCTGTCCCTGTGGTGTGGCATCCTGGGCTCTTTTTCTTTGAGTGCTGTGGGATATGAGGATGTGGATGAACAGAAGGTGCTGCCACAATATGTGATGCCACAGTTGTTTCTGGTTGAGGAACAGCCATTCAAGAGGACGAGGAGGAGAAAGAGAGAGACATGACAGCCAGGATTGCTATTATTTTATATAATGAGCTGGACACATATGTGTGTCAAAGTATGGCTGCTTTAATAAACTACTCAGTGCCGCTAGCTCTTATTTCTCTTTGAGCTGTATGAATTTAAAGTGTTTATTCCTTAGCTTTACTTTTTAGACCAAAGTGTAATTCCTCTTTCACATAAAGCCTTCTTCTTTTTGAAATGTCATGATTTGGTGCAGTTCAGTTCTGCTGTGCAGTAAGTCTGGAAGGCTTTTCTATTTCCACATAAATAAGAAAGGAGAGCAGTGATAAAGTGTTCATCGTTCCTCCTTAAATTACTGCTCAGTACAATAGACATTAGGACCTTCTAGATAAAATAATAGTGAGTTAAAATCTCAAATTTTGAAATTTCTGGGGATAGAAAAGAAGGATACTGGTCTTAGTATGACGAGTTCTGTTGGGCACATCTTCTTGGGCAGAGAGATGAGGCCTAGCTGATGCCAGGGGGCAGTTGCAAGCCCAGGAGCTAGCACAACGTGCTGCAGCAGCTCCCCTTTCTGCCCCCAGCACAGCCCAGGGTCATGCCCAGCGGGAGAGAGGAGGGGGGAAAGCAATGTGGCCAAAGTACAGCAACCGAGTGCCATCCAGGGAGCCTCTTGGAAAAGTATCCTTTCCATCGGAAAGGAGGAGGCGGCTTTGGAAATCTGTTTTTAAAATATTTACTGAAAGCTAGGAGGTCATGCCTGGGTCATACTTTTAGGGTGTTACATAAGGCGAGTCTCATCTTCACCTTAGAAAGAGCACCTCTAAGGCTTACATTGAAGCTCTTTTCTGGGGAGAAATTCTCCTTCTTCCTTCTCTTCTCCTCCTCCCCCTTTAGTCCAGTGGCCCTCCATCTCTTGTATAAACGCAATTAAATACAATTGCGGGCTGGATGAAGACATCTCTCTCTAAGTGAGCAAGTGATCATGGGGACTAGAAAGTAAAGTATTTGCAGCTCTAATTTGGGTCAAAACACTTTTAGTTATCGAAAGCAAAAAAAATCCACCAAGTACTGAGAAAGGTACATGTATGCTATGTCAGGATATAGCAGGTTGCCAGTGATCTGCACGACACGAAATCCAAGGTGGAAGAAAAAAAAATAAATGAAGAAAAGGTAGAAAAAAGAGAGAAGCAAAATTAGAGGGTGATACATGATAGTATAGGAATTGTCATACTAAGACAGACTAAAGATCTTTTTAGCTTACTAACAGGTATCGGATTGTGGTCAATAGTGGATACTAGAGGAGAACACAAAGATACACAATGATTGTTTCTCCCCAGCAACTTCCCAGAATGAAAAATTGGCAGCCCAGAAATTTCCTGAGTCAAGGGTTTTGTCTTTGTTGCTCTCAATGGATTTTTTTTTCCATGTCTTTGTTCAATTACTCTTTAAACCCATGCAGACTTTTATATTCACAGCACCCTGTGGCAGGGAGTCTCACAGCATAACCACAGTGCATGTGTTTCTTTCATTTAGCATTACATCTTTGCACTACTTGTATAGGAAGAGACAGTGAATAACTGAACTTTTTACCCTCCTTTTGCTACTGATGGGTGTAGGGACCTGTATCACATTTCTCCTCCGTCATACCTTTTTCCAGCCTGAAGGCTCCTACCATACCTAGTCTTTCCTCGTACAGAGCCGCTGCAGAACCTTGTTGCCCCTCTCTGTACCTTCACCATGCCCTGGTTGAGATGGGGGACCAGAACTGCACTCAGTAATCAAAACTGAGCCGCACCATGGAATTACACCGGGGAAAGAATGATATTTCCTGTTTTGTTCATTATCCCTGTCTAAATAATTTCTAATATTTGACTTCCTTTTTTGCCTGCCACTGACATTCGAGCCAATGTATTTATGGAACTGCTCAGCACCATGCGAGGGTTTCACTCCTGAATGGTAATAGTCAGCTGAGAGCCCTTTGTTTTCTGTATAAAGTTCAGATGTTCCTTTCTGTGTATCACTTCCTTCCACAGCTTTTTTTCTGGAGAACGTGCAGCAAAATCTGATCATAAATGGAACTTTATTAATATTTCTGTATATGGTAGAAAAAAATCTGGGAGATGTCTCTGCATTGGACAAAGTCTAGGGTAGATGTAGTCCAGAAAAGACCTACTGATCCCGTAAAACACCTACAGAGATCTAGCAACAAATTCCCTAATGGAAATGCAGCTTTTAACAGCAAAAGGATGCTTTAGTTTGTATAGATTATACCCATTCCCCCTAAATAGTAAATGACATGAGTAGAAGATGTTTATGCCCGTATCAATATTTATACTTGTATCATCATGGAAATTTCAATCAGAATAGAAATATTGTATATAATAATGGTATCAACAATAACAAACGATACTAAGATATGAGCAAAATTTTCTGATGTACAGTTGGCCTATAATATCAGACTTACGGCTTGACAATATGCCTGAAGATAATCTGATGACCTAGTTTCCATTTGGGCACTAGTATAAGAGAACAGGGATCAGTATCTTTCCAACAGCACAATCAAATTCTTTGTAGATAATAAGAGAAGTTATCACTTCTCGTTTTTGTTTTAGAATAAAGGGGCCATCCTGGCAAGACTGAGGGAGCAAAAAGATGATAACTGCTGTTCAGTGCTTTACGGTAGGGACTGCTGTACTTTTTCTTCTGCAGGATATTGTACGGGCCAAACGTTATGTTACTGTCATGGTCTCACCTCCATTATTCTGTATATTCACTAAGACAAGGAGCCTAGATCTTCTCTAGCAACATCTATCCGTCATTTTCTTAGGAATACTACACTATACTGGATTTGTTTCTTACCTCCATCTCAAGAAGTATTTTGTGTTTTCACTTCTCATATTTCAATCACTTACTTACTCTGTTGATATGATTGCAGACTACATTTATGGTAGCTTTCAAAGGCTTAAATCACTAAGTACTATGAATTCAAAAAGTAGCCTTTAATTATCCCAGTCTTTTTCACCTTCAGCATAATTATTCCATCTCCTCTTTTCTGACGATCCTCAACTCATCATATCTATATATATCCACTTTGTATGGTCCCTGGCCTCAAAGCTGGAGGACATGCAGATAGGGGGAGTATCTTTGCACATCTCTGTCTCAGATGCAAGGTTTTGCATACCAGAAGGGGCTGGGGGGGGGGGCCAGCCACCCTGCCCCAGGGCTTGCACACGAACCTCTTCCTGCAGATCAGGCATACACACACAGACATACACGCATGCACACACGCGCGCATACGGATATATGTATATACATATGTGTGCATCTGTATAGGTATACACATATATAGTACGTATGTGCAGTCTATTTGTGTGTATATAAATATATACACAAAGGCATGTATAGATGCACATATCGATGTATATGTGTGCATACATATATATCCATGGTATGTTTATAGCTATACCCACACATAAGGTGGGTGTTCTCCTTGGCCTCTGCAGCCCCAGCAGTACATGCTGCCCTGCTCCCTATGCATTGGGTGTGAACTTTGCATCATCTTGGACCTGGGCCCTCAGGCTTCAAATTCTCAGGTTATTACCCCGAGGGATAATTTCCAGCCTGGAACCCCTCTCTCCTCCCGGACGTGGATCAAAGTGCCCTGCCTCCCCCTCCAACCCTGGCCGCCCCTCGCTCTGCCTCAGGAGGAGAAAACACTTGTCATCACCCGGCCCGACTTCACCCGTCCAGGCAGAGGCTGTGGGCACCCTGCCCCCTGCCTAAGCACTGCTTCCCTCTAGCTTCTGCACACCCACACACACAGGTGGGTCCATGACACTTCCACGCAGAGCCATCAGATGGAAATACTCCCTCTGTTAATCGATTTACTCTTCTCGGAGAGCAGAGGAAAGATAGCTTTTTTTTTTTTTCTATTTGTCTTTGTCTGTAATTGGGAGAGACTTTACGTGCAAAGTGTTAAGACCCATCTACGACGTTCAGAGCAAAGATAAATTCACCTCATGATCAGGAAACGAAATAAACAGATCAAACCCCTTCAGCTTATAGAAATGACTTTATCTTTGGTTTTTGCCCAAGATGTTAGTACATGGTAAATAACACGTTAGTCCTTCTATTCACAGGAATAAATAGCAACAGGGGATTATCTTCAACAGAACAGAACGATTTGCCTTTGTTTCTACCTTTCCCAGTCGTAGCAGGCTTTTGTCAATGAGCTGCAATAAGGATTCACTACACTTCGAGCGCAGATGAAGGAACCGAACAAAGGAAAATCCTGTTATTACCTTGCTGCTGATGCAGAAGGCGCCTGGCATCCCTGCCTGTTCAGAGCAGGCTCCCCTAACGGGGACACTGAATAATTGATCAGAATCGATTGCTGGGATGAATTGGGAAGAAAAACCGGGCGCATCCCTTGCAAGCAGCCTGCTCCTTCCCCCATTTGCGCTGTAATCCAATTCCACCATGTGCAGACAGACAAGGGGACGCAACTCAGCCTTCAGGCCTGGGCGGGGTTCTCGCCGTTTAATCTTTTCTTTTCTCTTCCCTTCACTGCTTTCCTCCCTCCCCCACTTTCCGTCTCCCAGGCCCAGTGAGGTCAGCTCATGAATATTGCTTCATTTTCCTGAGAGGCTCTGGCAGCGCTGGGTACCTCGTGTGCGGGTGCTTGTCCCTCTGTGCATGCATTTCGCCAGCCCGGCAGCAGACAAAAGTGGTGGTGAGTAATGCGGCTGCTTTTTATTCAAGCCATTTTTTTTGTTTTTTGCTGTTGCTAAGAGAGGGAGTGTTGCCCAGGATTCGCGTCCAGCCGAACGGCCAAGTAGAAGGGGGGACCTGAGAAAATCCTCCCGCGCCTCTAAAATCCGGACAAAAGGCAGAAGTGCTGTTAAGCCCGAGAGCCCGGGGGCGAAGCGTTGGAGCCACTGGGCTTCTCCCTTTTCTTGCTGCCCTTTATTTATGGTGGGGGTTTTTTCCTTTTTCCTTTTTTCCTTTTTTCTCCGCCTTGGCAGCTGTTCCCGACAGGAAAACCTGCAGAGGCGCAGCGTCCTGTCGCCTCTTTGAAACGCCACGTGGTTTTGCCCCCGGAGAGGAGATTGTGTCGCGGAGTTTTGTGGAGGACGGAGATTTCGGATTCAAGAGTGGTTTTGGTTGTGCCGTTTAAAAAACCAGCCAACTGAATTGTAGGCGGTAGCCGGTCCTGGAGTCGGGGGCACGCATGGTTCAGGCCATGTTCCTGGCAGATCTCTGCTGAGCCTGATGATTTTGCTGCAGCGAAACTTCACGAAGAGATCCAGGTAGAGTGTAGGGTTCCCTTTTCCGTTAATTTAATTTTGAACGGTAGATAAAAGTCATAACAATGAGTAAGGTACAGGATTCAAGCTAAGTCCTGACTTTTTGCGGTTTCTTCAGGTCTGGATTTCAAGACTGATATTTGATACCTGTACAGCTCTGAACAACAGCAGTTTGGAGATTCTATTTGTGGTCATTAATAGAGATGTAAAGCGAATCTTTTATAAAGTGTTGTGATACAAGTATAGGTTCTGACAGGTTTTCTCTTCCGCTCTCCCCTTTTATTGCTTGGGAAGTTTCTGCCAAATTACATTCTTTTGAGCATTAATTTTCAGTGCATTGTTTAAGATCAGTGTGATAGATGACAGTGCACTTGACAGGAAACCCTGTGCCCCTGCAAGTGAGTGCAGGGTAAGTGTAGTGTCTTTGTCCAGGCTGTTCCAGGGAGCAGACCAATGGTTAGGGTATGGGATACTGTCTGTGCTGACCATGTGCAGTTGGGTTTCTTTCTTCATTCCCTTTTGGCCCACAGCTACAGTTAATTTCAAATCATTAGGCCGTGCTAGGAATGCTGTAATTTTTACTTTTGCCCATGTTTTCCCTTTAAGGACAGTCGAATAAAGGCTATGTGAAAACAGTTTATAGTTGCTAGCCATTATTTTCAGAATATATTAAGGAGTATCTTTTTGGCATGATATGACATTTAACAGCTGTTTTTAACAATTTACTGTGACCATGAAAACTCTAGCTTTGGCAATATGGGGGAAAAATTGTCATTTGAGCATCCTTAAATGAACATCACATGACATCCAGTACCAACTTAGGGTGTATTCCTTAGTCCCTCTGTTTCGAAAATCCACTGACCTGATTATGACTAATTCCTATGTCAGTATAACCTGTAACAAGCCTGAGTCAGTCTTAAGACCTGGCAATGGCTCTGGAAAACAAATTATTGCAAATCGGGGCTTGGAAGTTGATTGAGGGAGTGCCTGTCATCTACGCATTTCCTTTATGACCCTTGATTCCTGAGCTGAGGCAGCCTGACTTGGTCCTGGAAGAGACCCTGTCAAAGCTGAAGGGGGAGGGGGCTCTGTTGTTGCTGTACAACAGCCTTTCCCCATTCTGCTTTGAAAGATGCCTTGATGAGGCCTTTAAAGAGTCAGATGCAGGTAGCACCTACAGGTGCAGTAACAACCCAAACTGGTACTTGGCTCAGCAGTGAGGATGAGCAAGAAGGAAGGAGGTGTGAGGATGGAAACATAAGTGTGATGTTGCAGCCTGTACAGGGAAGGGTTCTGGAAAAACATGGGTGGGGAAAAACATCCCTAGGTGAAACAGAAGAAGTGGGAACCAATCTCAGCCACAGCCGTGCAACGTGGAGTCCAGTCGTAAAGCTGCTCCGGCTTGATGCCAGTCAGGGGGAGACGAAAATTTGGTCTGTGATACCCTTGGCTTTGGAGTGCATCAGTTTGGACGTGCTTTGGCAGCAGGTGGCTTGGGGGGCGGTGTGCGAGGCGGGTCGCGCAGTGCTCTGGCGGCGGGGAGCCGTGGCGGGGCCGCGGAGACCCGTGCCCGCTGGCG